CTGTGTTCTACCCCCTCTTAGGGTTGGGAGGAGCTGTGAACATGTGCTATCGAACCCTCTACATCGGGACAGGTGAGCCAGCCAGGAAACTGGGAGGGGCACTGGATCTTCAGCCTAAGGATGGACACTCTTACAGAAGCTAGAAGGGGGTAAAGGAAGACCTTTCCAGGGTTGGTGGGTTTAACCCAGTGGATGTCCAGATAAGAGAGACCAAAAACCTAGATAATCAGGCAGTTCCTTCACTTAGGGCTTTTACTCTGACTGTTGCTCAGGAGTATCTAAGCATCCTTATCTCTAGATGTCTTTAAAATGTGATGGATATACACATACCCCACCTTTAGACAGCCCTGCATCTTAGTACAGAGGGAAAGACAGATTACCCTTAGTTGTTTTATTTATTTATTTATTTATTTTGGTGATTGGGGTAGTTTTAGAACAGGGTCCCACTCTGTAGCCCAGGCTGGCCTTGCTGCCTCAGCCTTTCAAGTACTGAAATTACAGGCGTGCCCCACCACACCCCAGATTACCCCTTACCCTAGAAACGTTTTCAGGTAATACGGCTTACAGGCCTTGCACTGTGTTCACATGGATATTCTGTCCTCTTCAGTAACTCACTTCCGTCTGGGTGAAAGCCACATACTCTAAAGCAAATAGAACAACAAAGGGGGGTACTAGGCATAGTGACACACACTTGTAATTCCAATACTTGGGAAGTGGAGGAAGAGGAGCAGGAGTTCAAGGCTACCCTGTCTCAGAAAAAAGAGATTTCTTCTAACACCCACCCAGAAGCTAACTCCCTCTTCTTTTCACCTCCCACACATACACCTTACGATCTGTTCTCTGCCTTCCTTTTCCTTGACTCCTGCCACCTTGCAGGAGCTGACATGGATGTGTGCCTTACAAACTATGGTCACTGTAACTACGTGTCCGGGAAACACGCCTGCATATTCTACGACGAGGTGAGGGGCAGAGATGGGTGGGAGGGAGCTTTTGCAACCTGAGGCCTCTCTCCAGCACTGGGTTCTGTGCGCAGGGGCAGGGGCAGGGGTGGGAATCCTCTTCCCTCCCTGTCCATCCTGGAAAGGAAGAGTCTTGTTGTGAAAGGGCATCCAACCATGGCTACCTGCTTCCAGGAACAGGGCAGTTGTTTTGACTAAGGTTGGTCATAGGCACAGCTGAGGGAGACCACCCTAAAGCAGGGGAAGGAACCAGTATAGAAGGAAGCCAGGTGCTATGGATGTGTCCCTGTGTGTTTTGTCATAATTATTATGTACCAGTGAATATCAGATCAACAGGAGCCAGTGCTGAGGAAGCAGAGGGAAAGCAGGAGGTATGGAGTCACTAGGGCAGACTTTCTCAAGGAGGTGTCTCTTGAGCTGCATTCTGTCTGAAAGGGCCAGGCTATGAATGAGGAAGAGTAAGAGCTCCCTAAGTAGAGTAGCAAAAGCCTTGTGTCTTCTCCCCTTAGCCAAAGGCCCCACACATCTTATCTCCCCTCCTCCTCCTCAGAATACCAAACATTATGAGCTGTTAAACTACAGTGAGCATGGGACAACGGTGGACAATGTGCTGTATTCATGTGACTTCTCTGAGAAGACCCCGCCAACCCCCCCAAGCAGTATTGTTGCCAAAGTGCAGAGTGTCATCAGTAAGTTGGAGCAGAGGCCTGTGGCCATGCAGCTTAAGGCCCCAGTCACCTTGGTTCTGCCATGCTGTCAGTGACCTACAGTTTCTTGTCTTCCCAGTCCCATTGACCAAGCTCTCTTGGTGGGGCCCAGGGAAGGCCACCAAGAATCAAGTGCTGAACACCCATATATGTATCAGACCTCTTTGGGGACTTGAGACTCCACCAGCCCTTTCTGAGCATCCCTTACCCCTGGTCATGTAGCAGATTGAATGGGGAGATGCAGGGACTCAATCCTGCCAATCTACCCAGATAGGTCAGCTGCTCACTGTTCCCCTCCTATGACCATCCCCCTTTTTCCCAGGGCGCCGCCGGCACCAGAAACAGGATGAAGAGCCAAGTGAGGAGGCAGCCATGATGAGTTCCCAGGCCCAGGGGCCACAGCGGAGACCCTGCAATTGCAAAGCCAGCAGCTCAAGCTTGATCGGGGGCAGTGGGGCCGGCTGGGAGGGCACGGCCTTACTACACCATGGCAGCTACATCAAGCTGGGCTGCCTTCAGTTTGTCTTCAGCATCACTGAGTTTGCGACCAAACAGCCTAAAGGCGATGCCAGCCTGCTGCACGATGGGGTCTTGGCTGAGAAATTCTCTCTCAAGCCCCATCAGGGCCCTGTGCTGCGCTCTAACTCCGTTCCCTAGGCCATTGGCCTGGACACCCACCCAAGACTCCTGCAATGCAAAAATGTACACGAACCAAGCCCGGGTGTTTTCTATGCCAGAAACCGTTCAACTACAATCTTTGCATGAAATGAAGAAAACCTTTTGACTTTTTAAAGACTTTTTCTTTTCTCAAGTTCTAGGGGGCATTTGCACATATATTTGTACTCAACATTTCATGGGAAAGCGGCAGACCCGAGCTGAGGAACAGTGTGGGCAGGGAGGGGAAGACCCTGGTCTGGACACTTGCTCCAACACAAACCCTCCCACCCCACCACCTGCTCCTTCCCCCTCGCCTGCCTGCCCGCTGTTGTAAAATAATCAGAAACTTGTTCTATTTTGTGGCAGTGACAATAGTTTTATATTAAAAGAAAAAAATACAGTTTTCATACAGCAAAATATACAATATCATTGTTTTATTTAATATAAAGATTGCTACCCACCCTCCTTCCATGGTTCCCACCCTACAAGTTATTTTCCCTTTCTGCAGCGGTTGCACTACAGGTAGCTACTGTGTATTATGGACAAATGAGAAATTAATTCTTTTTCTGGATGTCCATCTATTTTATTTCAAATAAGGAAGAGTGTATTTGGATTTTGTGTAAATACATCTAGTGATGACATTTTTTTCAATGTTTTTAAAAACTGTGTACAGTATATGTGGTAGAGCGTTTTCTCAAATTGTCTATTGTAGCAAAGGCGTTTTTGTCGTAAACCTGTTTTGTGTCCTTTTTTTGTTCTCTTGCCACTTCCTTCTTGCCCCGCTTCTTCCTCTTCCCCCATTCCCACAACTAGTACCAATGTACATAGTAATTGTAATGTTTTAGACTTTACAGAAACTTTCCTGTATTCTGTATATAAAAAAACAAAAATACTTCAAATTATGTTTTCTGCCTGTCTGTCCTACCTGTCATCACCCTTAAAGGGCATCCTCCCTGGGGTCTCACTTATTGTACCTTTTGAACAGGTCTCATTCCCAGATGGTCCCCAAGGAAAGCTTTGGGGAGAGGAAAGGTGTTAGAGAGGACTAAAGCTACTCTGGGTGAAGGGAAATGGACAGGTAGGTTCATCTTGAAAGAGGGTGCTCTTTCTCTGGAGAGCCCTGATATGGTGAAATCCATTCTCTAGACCCAGCTGTGTCACTTAAAATTACTTGGAATCTTGCCTTTATCACTGCTGTTCCCATCAGAAAACATTTTCCTAATTCCAAAGCTCTGGGTATCCTTGCCAAACCATACTCCCTACTTTACTCCTCCAGACTAGTTAGATGATTTCTTCAGGAAGTTCTTCCTGAGGACAGTCAATCTAGAAAACACCCATGTGTTCCAGTAAGTAATACCTATTTGTGTTATTAGGATTCTGTGTTGGGGTTAGAGGATATTACACCCACAGCATCTCTAATTGTATCCTAAATCCACAGTGCAATTAAATAAGCTTCCCTTGGTTTCTTAGATCTGGCTCTGTTTAGTCCCAGCACCCAGGAGGCAGAGGGAGACAGATCTCTTGTGAGTTCAAGGCCAGCCTGGTCTACATAGTGAGTTCCAGGCCAGCTGGACAGGGAGACCCCAGTCTCCAAAAAAAGAAAAGTCTGGCGCTGACTTCATCTACCCATCTAGTTTGTCTCTGCCACTCTGCTCTCACTGCCAAAGTACTTCTTAAACTTCCTAAAGGCAGCAGCTTTATATTCTCAGGATATCTACATTGCCTAGCATATCATAAATGTCAAACATCCTGTGTTAAGTACTGACATTCTTAGGCAAGGTCCTAAGAAATGTTACCTGTCAAGAGTCCCAGCCCACCCTATCACCATAGTCATTTCTTTCCCTGAATAAAGCAGTGTCTACCAATTTCTGCCACCTGTGAGAACGTTCCTGAGAAAGTTTTTACTACCTTCCTGCCTTTCAGAAAGGATCAGAGGTGGAAGTGCATCCCTGGAATACCAGCTACTCTAGCTGGAGGCTGAGGCAGAACCACAAGTTTAAGGCCAGCCTCTGCCTTCTAGGGAAACCACCTCAAAAACCAAGAGAGAGAAAGGGGTGGAGTCTGGAGAGAGGGCAGAGAGGGCATTAGAGTCAGGAAACGACAATTCCGTCTTGACAACTCGAACTGCCAGTGCTATCCTGAGTACCCGCCCTTCTCTGGCCTGTACCCAGAAGAATCCTAGAAACTGAAGGCTGACTGGGGGATGAGAGGATGAGAAGTTAAGAGTTGTTTCATTGAAGGAAAGTCATCCAGGCCTGGACTCCAGAGACTCATGCCTATTCATGCACACAGGACTCCAGATGGAGGGACCAAGCTCCAATATCACACCTAGAGTAAATAGAGATGTTCATTCAAGCACACGCGTTGGCGGAGACTACAGATGCATCCACAGCCAGGAGAGACTCGCCCCAGTGCGCACAAACACCTACGCGGCGCTAACACGGGCCGGTGCCCAAGATCCAGACATGCCCACACCCAGGGTGGTCCTAAGCCCATGCACTCACTCATTCTCACAGACCTCGCGGATGGTGCATAACTAGCAGGCGCTCCCGGGGTCCCCGGCCACACGCGCACGCCTAGGGGGCGCTCCCGGGACTCGCAGCCCTCACGTACCTCCCTGCACGCCGCCAGGGAGCGCAACGCGCCTAGGGGGCGCTCGCACGGCCCACACGCGCGCGCGCACACCCCTGCCCAGCCGCCCTCGCGAGGCCGAAGCTTGAGCGGCGAAGCCGAGGCGGGAGCCGGGAGTGCGGCCGGCATGGAGGCGCTGCTGCTGGGCGCGGGGCTGCTGCTGGGCGCCTACGTGCTAGTCTACTACAACCTGGTGAAGGCCCCGCCGTGCGGCTGCATCGGCAGCCTGCGAGGCCGCACGGCTGTGGTCACCGGTGAGTGCGAGCGCGCGGGTGGCGGGAGGCCGGGCGGTGGGCCGCGGCCGGACGGGCTCAGTTGGTTCCCGCCCGCCACCCGCAGGCGCCAACAGCGGCATCGGGAAGATGACGGCGCTGGAGCTGGCCCGCCGAGGAGCGCGCGTGGTGCTGGCCTGCCGCAGCCGGGAGCGCGGGGAGGCGGCCGCCTTCGACCTCCGCCAGGTGAGCGAAAGTGGGGACGGGTGAGCCGAGGACACCTCGGGACACAGAGGACGGAGCAAAGCGACAAGAGGAATGGAGATCCGAGAGGAGAGAGCCGCGCCACTCCTTAAACATAGAAGAGGACACAGGGAAGGCGCAGCAGAACCGAATTCGCGAGGCTTCCTAATGGAAGGAATCGTGGTTCTGAGGTGTTGAAGAGTCAGTAAGTTAGGTTAATGAAGTCACGAGTGGTGGGTGGTTCGTGCCTGTAATCCCAGCACCTTGGGAGGTGGAAGCAGGAGGATCAGGAGTTCAAGGCCCTCCTTGGAAAAGATAAGGGAGGGAGAAATAGAAGAAAGGATTAGGTTAATGGAAATCCGCAGAAAGAACACCATTGTGCAAAAGCCCAGAGACAAGAAATTAGTCTCATTTGAGAAACTTGGGGTTGGGGAGATGACACCTAATGAGGCCAAAACACAACGCGTAGAGAAGAGGGATGTCTTGAAGGGGCGCTGAGCCACAGCCAGGTTCTGGAAGTCCTTACAGATTAATTGAGGCTGGAGCCTCAGAGCTTTTGGAATTTTTTTTTTTTTTTTTTTGGTCTTTTTTAAGAGACAGGGTCTTCCTGTAGCCCCAGCTGGCCTGGAGCTCACTATGTAGACCAGGCTGGCCTTGAACTCACAGAAATCTGCCTGCTTCTACACCCCCCCACCCCCAAGTGCTGGGATTAAAGGCATATGTCACCAAGCCCAGCTGGGATAAATTTTATATGGATTTTGGTGCCTGGACTGTCTAGGGAAAGAGTAAGAGAAGACCAGTAGGTTATAGCTTGTCATGGTGGTGCCTATCTGTGATCCCAGGACTGAGGAGGCTGAGGAAGGAGGATCATGAGTTGCAAGGCAGCCTAGGCTACATAGAGAGATGCTGTTTAAAATAAAAGGCTGTAATAGTTTACAATAAGCTATAATGGCGAGAAGAGATGAAATAACAAATATCTGCACAGTACTGACTGGGCATTTTACATACATTATCTTTGTAGCCCAGGCAGTCTTGAACTCGTGGTCTTTCTGCCTCCGCCTCCTAAGAAGCTGGGCTTATCAGTGTGTGCTACCACACCAGATTTACAGCCACATAGTGAGTCCATCTCAAATACAGATGTACACACTCTCAGATGCCTGGGAAAAGGAGGGAGGTACCTGATAACCATATCAGCCCTTGCTCCACAGGAGAGTGGGAACAATGAGGTAATCTTCATGGCCTTGGATTTGGCCAGTCTGGCCTCAGTGCGGGCCTTTGCCACTGCCTTCCTGGGCTCTGAGCCACGGCTGGACATCCTCATCCACAATGCGGGTGAGGGGCAGCACCCCTACAGGGGGGTGGATGGTGGCCTGGGGCCCTACTAGGAACAACAACTCACCTAGCTTCTGCCATAGGGATCAGTTCCTGTGGCCGGAGGAAGGAGACCTTTAACCTGCTGCTGCGGGTAAACCACATTGGTCCTTTTCTGCTGACACACTTGCTGCTGCCCCACCTGAAGTCATGTGCTCCCAGTCGTGTGGTGGTGGTGTCTTCAGCTGCCCACCAGCGTGGGCGCCTTGACTTCACTCGTCTGAACCGCCCAGTGGTGGGCTGGCGGCAGGAGCTGCGGGCATATGCTGACAGCAAGCTGGCCAACGTACTGTTTGCCCGGGAGCTCGCCACCCAGCTTGAGGGCTCTGGTGTTACCTGCTATGCAGCCCACCCAGGTGAGGACTGGCTCTTGGCTGTTCCTGATTACCTGTAGTCTTTGTACCATCCTGTGCTTCCCCCAGCCTCCTGTTGAGGCTCAGCTCATCTAGATTCTTCCTTTCCCACAGCAGCTTGGAGCCACTGAGGTATGGCAAGAATAAGACCTGGGTTCTCCTGTCATCTAGGAGTCTATATGGACTGAACCTACAATAATAGCAAAGAACACTTGCCTAGCTTGGGCAAGACCCTGGGTTTCTGCTGTTCATCTGGTTGGTTGGTTAGTTGGTTTGGTTTTTACTCTAACCCAGGCTGACCTGAAATTCTATGTAACACAGTCAAATCCCAAATCACAGCAATCCTCTTGCCTCATGCTAGAATTACAAATCTAAGCCACCATGCCAACTTGAGACCCGGGGTTTGATCCCCAATACCACCAAAAAAGAAAGTTATGGCTGTGCATGGTGGCTCACACCTCTAATCCCCAGGACTCAAGAGGCAGAGGCAGAAGCAGGTTGATCTCTGTGAGTTAGAGGCTGCCTGGTGTACACAGTGAGTTCCATGCCAGTAAGGGCTATAATGGTGAGATCCTATCACACACAAAAAAATAGTTATGATAGTGATAACGATAAATGATGCCATTCGGTCAAGGAACATTTTCTAAATATCTTATCCTCATATCCAATGACAGGTGGTGATAAACTAATGGAGAAAGATAAGACAGGGTAAGGGGGATATGGAATTTTCAGATGTGCTGTTTTGACAATGACAGTCAAGGAAGACATCTGAAAAGGTGATAGTAGAACGGAGGCCTGAAGGAGACAAGGGATGAGCTTGTATCTCTTTTAAAAATACTATTTTAATTTTATGGTCTGAGTGTATTTATTGCCTACATGTGTGTAAGTGCACCCGTCTCATGCAATGCCCATGGAGGTCAGAAGAGGGCATCAGATCCCCTGGAACTGGAGTTTTGAAAGGTTGTTAGCTGCCATGTGGGTGCAGGGACTGTATCTTTTTGAAGCTCAGAAAGAAAATTGAAAATAGCAAGTACAAAGGCAGAAGTTCCTGGCATACTTTAGGACGGCTAGTGAGGCTAGACCAGAGTGAGCACAACAGTGGCAAGAGCTGAGGTTGTAGAGATGGGCTAGGTCAGTAGTGTCTGGAGGGCCACTTAAGCATTTTGGCATCTACTCTGAGCAAGATAATTGGTAAACTATTCTCCTGGTTTTTAACCAGTAGGTTACAACAACACCTGCCCTGCCTGTTTTACCATACTGCATTTTATTTTACTTTGGAGTTTTGATGGTAGATTGGTTTTATATTGTTTGGGGTTTTTTTGGTCTTTTTGAGATAGGATCTCCCCGTAGCCCCAGCTGGCCTGGAACTCACTATGTAGACCAGGCTAGCCTAATCTCATTATGTAGACCAGGCTGGGCTCCCCCTATGATTATCCTTCCACCTCTGCCTCCTGAGGACTAAGATTCCAGGCATGTACCATTACACCTAGCACCATACTGCAGTTTAGAAAACCATTGCCCAAGGCTTTTTTTTGTAATTACAATGATAATAATATAGCTAACCTTTATTAAGTGTTTATTACAACTCCATATCACTAGTGTCCTAGTGGCTTGTATACCATAAGTGCTTAGCCAGGTGTGGTGGTGAATATGCCTTTAATCCTAGCACTTGGAACTGGCAGAGGTAGGCAGATCTCTGTGACATTGAGGCCAGCCTAATCTACATAGTGAATTCCAGGCCAGCTGGGGCTACAAGGAGACCCTATGTCAAAAAACAAAACATAAAGGAACAGGGCTCAAGCTAGAAAAAAATACAGCATAAATCAGGCATGGTGGCTTATGCCAATACTCCCAGTAAGCTGAGGCAGGAAAATTTTCATGAGTTTGAGACCAGCCTGGGCTGTAGAGTGAAACCTTGTCTTAAAAAGAAAGGAAAGCTGGGCTAAACTGATGGCTCAGCAGTTAAGAGCACTAGCTGCTCTTGCAGAAGACCTGGGTTCAATTCCCAGCACCTACATGACAGCTAACAACCTTCTATAACTCCAGTTCCAGGGGACCCGATGCCCTCTCTGGCCTCTGCCGGGCATTGCATGCACCCGGTGCACCTATGTAATTCAAGCAATACACTCAAACACATAAAATAAAAACAATTTTTTAAAAGAAAGGACACAGCCGAGCGTGGTGGCTCTTGCCTTTAATCCCAGCACTCAGGAGGCAGAGGTAGGCAGATCTCTGTGAGTTCAAGGCCAGCCTGGTCTGAATAGGGAGTTACAGGTCAGCTGGGGCTACAGGGAAACCCTGTCTCAAAAAGACCAAAAAAAGGAGGACTGGAGAGATGACTCCAGTGGTTAAGAGCACTGGCTGCTCTTGAAGAGAACCTGGGTTCGATTCCCACCACCCACATGGCAGCTTACAACGGTCCATAACTCCAATTCCAGGGGATCCAATACCCCCTCCGTGGGCATGTACCTACATACATGCAGGTAATACATTCATACACATAAATAAAAATAAATTTTTTTTTAAAAAAAGGAAGAAAGAAAGGGAAGAACTGGGGATGTAGCTCAGTTGGCAGAGTGCTTGTCTGGCATGCCAGAAGTCCTGAATTCAGATGCCCAGCACAGCACCAAAACAAATGAAAAAAGATGGAGAACAATTGGGCAACAGGACACAGCATTTAAATGGAGGGAAGGAAGGAGGCTTCTTGTAGGAGCTGAATAAAGTCACCTTGTGGGGGTCCTGAACACCTGGTAGATACTACCCCGGCTTCTCTGAAACCAGATTCTGCCTCCCACCGGGTGTGTTCCCCTGCTTATTCCCTGAGTCTCCACCTACCTTCCTCTCTAACTCCTTTCTTTCTTCCTGCCCACAGGGCCTGTGAACTCCGAGCTGTTCCTACGCCACCTTCCTGGATGGCTGCGTCCCATGTTGTGCCCACTGGCTTGGCTGGTGCTCCGGGCACCCCAAGGGGGTGCTCAGACACCTCTGTACTGTGCATTGCAGGAGGGCATTGAGCCTCTTAGTGGGAGATATTTTGCCAACTGTCATGTGGAAGAGGTACCCCCAGCTGCCCGAGATGACCCAGCTGCCCACAGGCTATGGGAAGCCAGCAAGAAGCTGGCAGGGCTTGGGCCTGGGAAGGATGAAGACCCTGATGAAGAACCCCAGCCTGAGGATTCAGGAGCCCTGTCTTCTCTGAGTACCTCCCGCCCTAAGAAACCCAGGGTTTCTGGACTTTCTCATGCCCCTGGGGGCTTACCAGACTTGTCTAAATTGACACAGCAAATTCAGGTGAAGGCTGAACCTACACACCAACTTTCCTAACCCCCAGGTTGGGATGCTTTCTTATAGTACTGTGGGACCCTCCCGAAAACCTGAGCTGTGTGCCTGGGCACTAAGGGGTTGCCATTTTACCTTGGTGGTCACTTTCTGGAACCTCTAAGTTGTGTCCTGGACAGCACTTTTCCTGGTGCTAGGAGATAATGAATAGCTGTTACTTCCTGAGAGGCACAATAACCCCAGGATTCGAGGGTGGTATGCCAGATCTTGCAACCCTACCGGGAGTGATTCTAACCGTTCCGGGGCAGGGCCAGGGATTTTTCGATTGAAGCACTGCCAATGTTACTGAACTGAGCTCTTTGCATCCATCCAGCTAGGTGGTTAATTTATCCCCATTCTAGGGAGGCAAGATTAGGAATGGACTCAGAGCAGGGACTGGATTTTAACCCAGGGGTCTGATCTCCGGACCCACTGCTGCAAGGTGGGTGCCGTGTGGTGAGGTAGCCCAGAGCGTTACTACTGAGGTGCCCCGAGGGCACAGGAGGAGCCTTTCAAGGTGCTTAAGGGCCAAGCCCCTCGATACAAAGCCCCCTCTAATAAAGCGAGTTGACTGGACGCTCTGGCTCCTGCCTCTTTCAACATGCCGGCCCCGCCCACCGCCGCCACACTTCCGGCTGGGCCACTGCTGCGGAGGGGCGCGGGCGGGCGGCCGCTGGGGGTGGCGGGATAGGCTGGGCGCGGCCTACGCTGCGGGACCCGCCACTGCCGTCCAGGTCCGTTCAGCCCCAGGGCCCTCCTTCCCACACAGGCGCCATGGGCAATTGCCACACGGTGGGGCCCAACGAGGCGCTGGTGGTCTCAGGTGAGGGGACGGCGAGGGTGGTGGGTGCTTGCCCAACCGGTGTGGGAGAGCAGGAAGGCCGGGCATCTAAACCGCCGCCCTGGGACCCCCACCCTCCAGGGCGGCGGGCCACCAGGACTCCCCCTCCCATGGCGTGGCCTCCGGTGCTACTCCTCCCTCTGCTCCGGGTGGCTTTGGGAGCCGCGAACCAAAGCCGCGGGGTCCTGGGTGGGAGGGGCGGGTGCGTCCCAAAATACTGATGGCTGGGTCGCTGCGGCCCCCGGAGGGCAGGTGCCTGCTGGAGAGGCCCTCAGACGCGGGCCCCTTTTTCCAGGCGCAGGCAGACCCGTTAATTCTGAGCAGGCTTCGGCTTGCCCAGACTTCCTGGCATTGCACGCCCTGGGGACGCGGGTGCGGCCTCCACAATTGGGAAACCCGGCTCCCGCCTGTGCCGTTCTAGATTACAAAATGCAGCAAGCTCTAGAATTTGTCTAGGTGGGGCTGGGAGACTGCTGCACTGAGGACAGTGTACCTCACCTTAAAGCTGCGATTCACAGTGTATATTTGGAGTGCCTTGGGAGGTCATTGAAGTCACCAGGTTATTCAGCTCGTGGCTCCCAGATGCTGGGAAGGGTGCCCCTGTTGCATGACATCTTGAAAACTTGAAGCTGTAGGCTGATCTCTTCCCACTCTAAGTACTGATGTTCAGCCTGTGTGCAAAATCAATAAAGCCGACCGTGGGAAGGGAGATGGTATAAACCTTGAGCTTGGGCTTAATAGCTGCACACCCTTGGGAAAGTGTAATAAATCCACTGGGGATTTTCACCCCCAAACATAGCCTTAAATGTAACTTGGGTCTCAAAATCAATCTCTTGACTGGGCGTGGTGGAGTATGGTTTTAATCCCAGCACTCAGGAGGCAGAGACACGCAGTTCTCTGCGAGTTCCATGCTAGCCTGGTCTACGTAATGAGACCCTGTCCTTGACAGTACCCTGCTCCTTTCAGAGATATGATACCTCATCCCATTGGAGACCAGAGGTTCTTAGGGTAAGGAGGGAGATCTGAGAGATGAATCTGTGAGGCCAGGGTGGCCTTGAACTCACAGATATGCACCTGCCTCTGTCTCCCAAATGCTGGGATTAAAGGTGTGCACCACCATGCCCTGCTTTTTTTTTTTTTTAACAGAATCTTGATTTGTACCCCTGGCTGGACTGGAACAAATTGTGTAAATCAGTGTAAATCAGTTGGCTTTGAATTTGCAGTGATCTTCCTGTCTCTGTTTCCCCACTGCTGGGATTATAGACATGCACCCTGCTTGATTGTGTGTCTATGTGTCTGTGTGGTGCTGGAGATCTCACCCATACTAGGCAATCACTCTGCCACTGAACTATAGGCCCCAGCCCTAGAAGGCTTTTAAAAAACTGGAATCTGGGACTGGGAGATGGCTCAGTGGGTAAAGGCAATTGCTGCCAAGCCTGATGACCTGAGTTGGATCCCTGAGACTCACATGTTGGTTGGAGAGAGCCAACTCCAGCAACAGGTCCATAAATAGAGACACAAACAAAATTAATAAATGCAGAAAAATGAATAAATAAAAAGAAACCAGAATCTGCACTGTATCTTTCCTGTGGAGATTCTTTCAGGAAGCCCAGAATCTGGGATGAGGAGACCAAAGCTTCAGTTTTGCCCTATGGAAAATCTTAAGACTACAGGGTGAGAAGATGTAGATGGGCTGCTTTGTACCTTCTACTTACTGGGAGCCTACTCCTCAGGCCAGAGCCAATGCAGTGCTGGCTTGGAAACTATTCTAGGGGTGGGGAGGGGAAGTCATGCTAAGAATCAAGGATGGACTGGAGAGGAGAAAGGTACCATGGCTGGTGTAATAGTCCCTTGGAATTTGAGACAGTGTGAGGTGCAGCTCCCCTTTTTGAGGGCAGTCTGGTCTACATAGTGAGTTCCAAGCAACTGGGGCTACAAGGGAGACCCTATTGAAAAAAGACAACAACAATAACAATAATAATGTGGAGAAGCAATTGAAGGAAGACATTCTGATGTCAACCTCTGGCCTCCACATGTAGCCACATAGCCCCCCCAACACACACACACACAGATAAATAAAAATTAGGAATGGTGTTTCGGAAGCTGGGAGAAAATGCTTTACAGGGGAAAAGGCTACTGGGAGTAGAGGCAGCCTGCCAGGTCCAGCTTCCTGTTACTGCTTCTGGGAACCTGGCATATTGCCAAATATGAACTAACAGCCTGCCCCCAAGGTCAAAAACAAGTGAAAGGTAAAGGGTAGATACCTACTACCCTGTCTTATCTGGTTCCCCTCTGCTCTCCTATAGTATATAGAGATCTAGACCTGGCCAGAGGCATCCATGCCCCAGCTCCCACCAGGCCAGAAGATGCAGAACAAGCTGTGATTTTTGGCCCTATTCCAGTTTCACTTGATCCCAAGATGGTTTGGGTTTCAGACTGCCTGTCGACCGAGACCTCCCCTACAAATGCCTCTCAGGGCAAAGGAGCTTGTAAAAGGCTTGCCTTGATTAGCAGCCCTGTGGACAGGTATTTCTACTTCAGAGAAACAGAAACCTAGCCATAGATAATAGAACAAAGCCAGCCTGAGCTGCAGCGTGAAATTTTGTCTTAAAAAAAAATGGGGCCAGGCGTGGTGGCGCACGCCTTTAATCCCAGCACTCGGGAGGCAGAGGCAGGTGGATCTCTGTGAGTTCAAGGCCAGCCTGGTCTACATAGTGAGTTCCAGGACAGCTGGGACTACAGGGAGACCCTGTCTCAAAAAGACCAAAAAAAAAAAAAAAAAAAAATGGGGAGGGGAGGAGCTGGGCATGGTGATGCACACCTCCCAGCACTAGAGAGGCAGAAGCAGGTAGATCTCTGTGAGATGGAGACAAGCCTGGTCTATATATAGCGATTACCAGGCCAACTGGGGCTTCAGGGAGACTCTGTCTTAAAGGAAGGGGGAAGGGCTGGAAAGATGGTTCAGCAGTTAAGAGCACTTGCTGCTCTTGCAGAGGACTGAGGTTTGGTTCCCAGCACCTACATCAGGCAACTTGTAACTCCAGATCCAGGAGATTCAACACCTTCTGGCTTCTGTGAGCACTGGCCCTTCAACTGCCCAGACCACACACACACACACACATACATACATACATACATACATACACATATACAAGCTGGGGCTATACCTCAATTGGTAGGGTGTTGTCTAGCTAGGGCTATAGCTCAATTGGTAGGGTGTTGTCTAGCATACATGAGCCCTGTATTTGATCCCCAGCACCACATAAGCTGGGTGCAGTAGTGTACCCAGGCAAGCATACTCCCCACACACACACATATGCATGTGAAAAAAATTGTATGAGGAGCTTGGAGATCCAGTTCAGTAGTAGGGCACTTGCCTAGCATGTGCAAGGCCCTGGGTTTAATCCCTAGCACTGAAAAAAAAATTCATGTCATGTTTGATATACTCAATGGCTACCATATTCCACACCATAGAAAGAGAATGTTTCTATCCATACAGAAAGTTTGCCTCGGTAAGAATGCTTCAGGAGTTATACACTTGGATCAGCCATATACCTTGCCTAGGTTCCTGCAAGAGACATCTACTCTGTCTTCCTGACTTCAGAATCTCTCTCCTTTTGCAAAATGAATTTTGCTTTGTTCTGTTGTTGCTGCTGCTGTTGTTGTTTGAGACAGGATCTCACTATATAGCCCTGGCTGGCCTGGAACTCACTATGTAGACCAGGCTGGCCTTGAACTCACAGGGATCTGCCTGCCTCTGCCTCCTAGGTGCTGGGATTAAAGGTATGTACCACCATTCCTGCTTCTTGTTTTGTTTTTCTGAGACAAGTTCTTACTATGTAGCCTAGGCTGGCCTCCAACTCCTGATTCTCCTACAAAAATGAGCATTTGCTGGGGCTAGAGAGATGGTTCAGTAGTTAAGAGCACTGGCTGCTCTTACAGAGGACCCAGTTTCAATTCCAAACACCCACATGGAAGCTAACAACCGCCCATAATTCCAGTTCCAGAGGATCTGATGCTATTTTTTCTGGCCTCCTCGGGCATTACAAACACATAGTGCACATACATACATGAAGGCAAAACACTCATACATATAAAATAAAAATAAATAAGGCAGGTATAGTGGTGTACACCTTTAATCCCAGCACTTGGGAGACAGAGGCAGGTGAATCTCTGTGAGTTCAAGGCCAGCCTGGTCTACATAGTGAGTTCCAGGTCAGCTGGGGTACAGGGAGACCCTGTCTCAAAAAGACCAAATAAATAAATAAAGTAAGTAATAAAAAAGTATCTCAAGGCACTTGAATACAAAAAAAAAAAAAACATTTTCTACCACTATGTCTGACTTAAAGTGGTATTTGCTTCTAAAATGACAGTGTGACCTTGTCACTTCCCAGCTTGAACTCCCTCACTCACATACACATGGCTCCTTGGTCTATACAGAAAACATTCATGATCTCTTTGCCCCTCTATCCTCTATCTACCTTGTCCCCTACTGTGGCTTTTCAGAGACACTATAACCAACCAAGGTATAGAAAATGACCTTGGGAGACAAACATCTTGAAGCTTGGAAATCCAAACATTTTCTCCCAAATCCTATCTCCTTTGATTCATATTTCCTTTGCATTGAAAGTTAACTCCTGCTGCAGCTTTTACTAATACTTCCTGACTTGGTAAGTAGTTTTAGCATGAACAGGAATTTAATACAAGAATTTGAGCAATTGATTTTTCTCATTTCTGGCTGGAACATGCTGAGCATGACCACAGCCAGTTTCTAAGAACCACTTCCTTTTGGGGCCTTTCCCCTTTATCCTCACTTCTCCTCTAAGTATTATAAGCTGAGTATAATTTTGAAGCCTCATGTCCCTCCCTGCTCCCACAAGAGGAACAAAGTCACTCTGAATGCTCTAGGCTGTGGGAGTAGAGTGCCTGCTTCATTTGAGATGCATCTGCTAAGCACAGAAAGGCTGTGCTTGACTCAAAGACTTTACCTTCCACCAGCCAGCCCCAGAGGCCTGCTCCCTTGCATCCCCCTCCAGCTGGCTCACAGTGGTGAGTCTCATGGTATTATGATCCTCCCAAGATACACTTCTTCATATCTTACCTCCTACAAGACTTTCTTTTCACCTCTCTAGCATAGAAACGGATTGTCTACTTGTTTGTTGATTGAATAATAGTTAAGTGAAAAAGAGAAGTTTTCCCTTATCCACTTATGTGTTCGGTCCTCTGGAAGCAAATTGTCTAACAAACTACATCTTAAGTCCCTTGATAGAAAGGAGATCTTGTCTTGCATTTATGTGTAATCTTAGCACCTGGTAATTGACAGTAGCTACTGTCAAGTCTCAGAGCAAATAAAGGGCCACAGTTAAACTGGGTGCGGTGGTACACACACTTGTAATCTCAGCACTGGGAGGCGGGGAGCAGGAGAGTTCCAGACTAGCCTAGGCTATATAGTAAGACTCTGCCTCAGAAAACTAACAAAAGCCAGTGGTGGTAGCTCACACAGCCTTCAGGAGGCTAAGGCAGGAAAATCCCTACAAGTTCAAGGCCAGCATGAATTACAAAGCTAGTTCCAAGGAAGCTTGACTATGGTGTGAGATAGTTCAGGAAGTAAAGGTGCTTGCCACTAAGCTTATTACCCAGAGTTCAATTCCCAGAACCCATGTGGTGGAAAAAGAGAACCAACCCCCTCAAGTTGTCCCTCTGATCTCCACATATTGCCATGGTATACATGTACCCACATGCACAGACACACACAAATAAATGTAATAAAAAAAATGTTAGAGAGTTGGAGAGATGGCTCATCTGTTAAGACCAATGGCTGCTCTTACAGAGGACCCAGGTTCAGTTCTCAGCACCCACATGGTGGTTAAAAGCTATCCCTAACTCCATTTCCAGGGAATCCAATGCCCTCTTCTGGCTTCCATGGGCACTGCATGCACATGGTGCACTTACATTCTGAGAAACACACATAATTAATTAATAAGTTACTAAATGAAATTTTAAAAAACTTTTTAGGGCTGGAGAGATGACTTAATGATTAAGAGCACTGGCTGTAGAGGACCCAGGTTCAGTTCCCAGCACCCACATGGTAGCTAAAAACCATCCATAATTCAGGTTCCAGGGGATCCAGTGCCCTCTTCTGACCTCCACAGGCATTACATGACACAGGTGCACTTATATACATGCAGGCAATATACTCATACACATTTTTAAAAAATTAAGATAAAGTTTTTAAAACTTTTTGATTCATAAAATAAAACAAGCCAAAGCTGCTTTTAGAGGATCAGAGGGCAGGCATACCCAGAAACTGACTGACCAGCAATGGTTTGCTTTGCTCCCCAGGGGGCTGTTGCGGTTCCGACTATAAACAGTACGTGTTTGGCGGCTGGGCCTGGGCCTGGTGGTGTATCTCCGACACTCAGAGGTAAGGGCCTAGGGGTTCTGGAATCTATCATTTTGGTGGGCAAGAAAGGGGTTTCCAGTGGGCATACTTCCTTTTCCCCACAAGCCAGGTAGAACATCTGCCATCCCACCTTCCATCTGGTTAGGAGGAGGCCCCCACTAAGGAGTAGCTGAGATAGGCACCCAGGGATACAGGAAGCTCAGTTCAGGAAGGTCTGTCCTGAAGGCCCCTCTTGTTTACTGGCTTCTCTTTCCCATTGGAAGTGATACTGCTTCTGTCCCAGAGAATGCAGGGCATATATCCAATAGAATCTCAGTTTCTGTATTCTAGCTCAATGTTAAGAAGTCTTGCTAGGCTCATGCCTGTAGCCCCAGCATTCAGGAGGAGGTGAGTTTGAGGCCATCCTGGGCTACACAGAAAGACCCTGTCTGGGGAAAAAAAAAAATCCAGGTGTTGTGTCTCATGCTTGTAATCCCAATCTCAACACTTCGGAGGCTGAGGCAGCAGGATTGTGGTAAAGGTGAGCCTGGCCTAGACTACATAGTTCCAGATCAGGAACTATATAAACAAGACCCTTTCTCAAAAAAAGGTTGTAATTACTCCAGACATACTAGCACACACCTGTAATCCTAGCACTTAGGAAATGGAGGCAGGAGAATCAGATGTTCAAAGCTAGCCTCAACTACATAATGAGTTAAAGACTGGCGTAGACTGTTTGAGACCCTTTCTCAAAAAAACAAAAGGAAAAAAGTCTTAATTCTGCACTATTTGAAGAGGAGATACAATGGGAGGAAATGGTAGAGTTCATACATGGGCCCTTGCCTGTATAGGCCCTGGGACAGTGGCTGAAATAAGTAGCACAGAAGGGATGTACAATCAGATGTGATCTGTGACACCAGTGGGTTATACACAAGGTCTAAGGGTATAAGGAATTTGTGCTGGGGCAAGATGGGCTAGAATCTTAAATCAGTCTGGAAAGACTTACTAGGTAGGGAGGTTTCCATTCCCAAAGTGCCCACCATCCAGCTCACCCTGCTTTGTCTCCAAAAAGCTCAGGGCACAACCAGATATGGTCTCCCCTGCTGCCTCATTGCCCACCACCCAGGAGAGGAAACATTACAGCCAGCCTTACAGCAGCACCCCCTTTATGGGATATAGGACTGGTAACCCAAGGGAGAAACCATGGAGATTTCAAGCAGAAATCCCCTCCAGCCAGCCCCTACCAGTCAGCAGAGAGAGGCCCATGTCTGCATGAAGTTGCTTGAAGCTCCTGGGTGTCTGAGGGCTGGCTAAGGTTGGGGGTGAGAAGCATGTCAACTCTTTAACATCACTGATTCCCAGTAATCCCCTCCACTCTCCTATCTTTCCCTTCACTCTACCCTGCTTACTTAAGTGATTTTGAGGGACTCCTCTAACACAAAGCTAACAATGTCAATAATCAATATTGGTCACAACTTCTACTCCAGAGAGTCATAGGCATACCTAGATGGGTCAGCTAGCCTGCCAGAAGGCACGGGAGCACTCTCCAGAGATGGCCACCCACACACCACACAGTCCCAGCACAACAGAATCTTATTCAAAGACCTTGACGTACAGCCAGACCCAGGCAGTTGGACTTGTCCAGAATCAGTCTTGTACAAACAGCCATTGCTAAGGAATGCTCCTGAAGCCCATTCTCTACATCCCTGGTCTCCCACTCCCACTTTGTGCCCCAGAGAGTAGAGTCCCAGGACAGGAAAGCTAAGCCTCCCTGACAGTAGGTAGGAAATGAGAGCTGGGCCTTACACCTCATTTTAAGAATAAGGCTGACCTCAGGCTCAACATGCTCCCTCTGGGTGAGTAGTATATGCCTGCCTTTCCCCTTCTTTTTTACTTTTCTGGGGTTAACCCCATCCCGGGCTCCTAGCCCATTTGCTCTCCATAGCCTGGGACCCTTATTTCTCTAGACTGACAACCACTAGATCAGAGTAGAGGCTTCAAACCTGGTGTGGTAGCATACTTATGTAATCCTATCACTCAGGAAGCTAGATTGAATTTCAACATCAGCCTGGGCTCCAGAGTTCCCCATCAGTGTGGGCTGAGACTGTCAAAAAGAAAAAAAAAGAATGAATGGATGGATGGCTGAATCAAGTGTCTAACTCAGTTTCCCTTTTGAAGAACTTTCCACGGCCATGCTGTATCACCCACCTGGTATCAGCCATTCTTCCTCAAGGCTCAGTAAAATCTCCTACTTTACTTTGTTGCAATGTCCTATATTATCCTGAGGCCTTTATGTGGGCAGCTCTTTTCCCTTACCTGAGCAATTCTTCCACCTCTGGCATCTGAGCTGCAGCCTCCCTTCCTCTTTTCCTCCCTTCCTCTTTTCCTTCCTTCCTTCTCTCCTGTTTCCCTTTCTCCTTTCCCAGAAGAAAGCGGTGGTAGGTAGGTTCCTATCTGAGCCAGGTCAAGAATCTTCACAAAGGCTAGGGATGTAATTCAGAGGTCAAGCACTTGTCCAGTGTGTACAAGGCCCTGGGTTCCATCCCCAGTACTAGGCGGAAAAAAGAGTACTCTCAGGCCTAAGGGTGCCAGTGTTAGGGGATCAATCAAATGAAAACAACCTTTGCATGTCTGCATGGCTGGAGCCTTCTGGGCTGTGAGAGCAGCCACTCCAAAGGGTTGAAGTGGGAGTTTTGAGTTGCCTAATGCTCCTCAGTTTCCCCACCCCATCCACCTGTTTCTGCCCCTTCAGTCTCAGCCTCTGCCTTGTCTTCCTTCTTTGGGTTTAAGGAAACCATCAACACTATCCACAGCTCTCTTCTGCCTACACCACCACTCTACACATGTGCACACACAGCTGGGGTAGGCCAAGTAGCCTACCGGCACCTTGCCAGTCCTTGTTGCCCATACTCAACTCTGGAAATTCTAAAGTAAATCCCTCCACCATCTCCCATCAGTCCCTGTGAATAATCTGCCATAAGCATTCTTTCTCCCCCAGCCTTCTTTGACCCTCTCACATCAAAATCAGATATCAAAAAAAAAAAAAAAAAAAAAAACCAAAAACCAAAATTTTTTTTGAGTTTTTCTGTTTTTTTATTCCCCTTTTTATTGAAATT